CAGACTGCGTGGGAAGGTGGTATAGGAATGCTATAGCATGCTAAGCTCACGTAGCAAAGGGCTTGCGTACTCAGCGTCTGCATGCTTGTTGATTTCGGCCTGTGAGGCGGACACTGTAGTTGGTGTGGTGACCACAGACTGTGCCTTCTGTGTGTATGGATGTACGACTGTTGGGGGACGAGGCTGCGAATGTTGTACCCGTACGGCGGACTGCGTGTGGATGACTTGCCACTCCAGTGGGCCTGCTTGTACTTGACTACTGCATACGGTAGTTGTGTGCGCCATACCCTACTAAGCCCCTACTGCCCTTGCTGGCTCTGTGATTAAAGCTTGAGGGGGGGCGGCGGGGCAGCTACGTAGGCAGATCAGGCCGTCGACTAGTATACTGCACCTCTACCATACGAGATGACTAGAATAGTGCCACAGGCTTGTGAGCTATTTAGGTCAATTCCTGCATTTTTCTAGGATCTTTTATTATACTTGGTCTTGTATAAATCTTGGTAAGCCACTTTCTCTATGGAAAGCACTGCCGAAATTTCCACAAAACCAAGGAGTTAGTCAGATTTTGTCTTTTCAAAGTTCAGTTTGTCTGAATTTTATATATGACTTAGTAAAAATCTGGAGAGTCTCGTTTTCTAAAGGAATGGGAGTTAGATAAAGTTGGACCTTGAGAAATCAAAGTCATCTTTAGATCCTGAACCTGGCTTTGTATAAATTCTAGTAAGCTACTTTCTCTACGGGAAGTGCTGCCAAAATTTCTGCAAATCCAAGGAGTTAGTCAAATTTTGACTTTTCAAAGTTCAACTTGTCTAATAGTTCATATATGACTTAGTAAAAATCTGGAAAGTCTCATTTTCTAAAAGGAGTGCTGCCCAAATTTCTGCTAAATTCAAGGAGTTAGACAAAAATTGACTTTGAAAAATTGAAGGCTATTTCTGTTTTCATCTTCAGGCTGATGTAATTTCGGAAAAGGCACTTTTCCTACGGGAAGTGCTGCCGAAATTTTCCTAGCTTAAAGGAGATAAATTATATTTTGACAGGTGGCGATTCTGGCGATCCACCCTGAATAGGGGAAATTCTGCCGATAGTCCGATAGTCTACCTTTTGCTTAGGCACTTGCGTAGAGGTAGACTAAGGCGTAGTTAATTAGGGAGATCGTGGTACGGAGATTGGTCTCCATGGACTTATAGGTTTAGCACGGGGTTTGGCCTGTCTTGTGTTACAGGTCTTCTTGATTGTTTGATTAAGGATTGAGACTAGTTTCAGCTTGATCCTATAAGGCTCACCTTCTGTTATCACTGATAACAGGTCGTTTGCCGATTCGTCGGTCTACCTCTCAACTCCAACTCACCCTCAATACTCAACCTAAAAGGCTTTAGCCCTGGTGACTTTTATTGTTTTGTTAAGGTTTCACCCGAACTTTTATTGAATGGCCATTTAACAAAGGTATTGAGTATTTAATTATGGTTCGATGGACAAGAGATTGGGGCTTGCATGCCTAAAGCGAGGGGTATGAATGCAGAGGTTGGTTGGGGTTGACTCCGTGTAGTGCGTGGACTTTGTTTGACTCTTTGATGTGATTGCAGGTATGTTCTTTGGTTCGGATTTTGGAATTGACTGCCCGCGATCACACATATGGTTGTGAGGGGCCCCACTGTGATTGTGAGAAGTGATCGTCATTTACTTATCCCCCTAATACATATATATATAGGTATATATATGTCCCTGTGGTGGGGGTTTGCGTGGCCTGAGGGGCCCGCATATTAAGGATCAAATAGGGGTTGAGGCTGAAAAAAGGGGGGGGAAAACCCGCGTATTATGCCCCTGTGGTCGGACGTTGGTCCTGGGCTCGGATTCAAGGTCCTTGTCCAGGACATCCCAAGCCCTAGACCCTACAGGGAAGCAATCTGCCCCTGTGCAGAGCCTATTTGCCTTACCTACCTAGACGCTCAGGCCAAGGGCCGGAGGTCCCGAGGCGACTGCACGGCTATTCCTTCAACCGTGCAATATCGTGAGGGATTAGACCACCACGATACTTCGGGTCTGACACTTGAGTGTCATAAGCGGTACTCGGATCCACGAGGGACCGCTTGATTATGGGCACTACATAGTACGCCATCATCACGACTGCTTGCGTACGCCTACATTGCGAGTCGATATGAGTAGGCCCTGCGTCCGCGCGGTTTTATAATAAGTCTCGCGCGAGACGCCTATCTGATTTCCACGTAGGAAAGTTATGGGATGGCTACCGAGGGACTAAGAGCGTTGTCGCGTTGTTAGTTTTGTGTCGTCTCGTGTGTGTATGCATGCTTTTGTGTTCACGTTCGTACAGCAGTGTATGCGTGGTGAGTGGGATGAGTCCTAGTCGACCGACGACAAGTCGCGCTTGGGACTTCAGCCCCCCCAAGATGCCGGTTCGCGTGCGGGTCCGATAGGGACGTTCTACCGTGCATACCCCCTATGCTACAACGAACGAGAAACGCCCTCGGCTGGTCCACCTCTGCGATTGCAGCTGATTAGCTTTCATACTGTGGACTGGTAGCTCGGCGAGGATACGCCCACCGAAGGAAGGTGACAACTCCCGTAAGGTGGAGGTAAGTCATGCCTCGCGTAGGCCCTATCCTGTTGTAGGGGCTCGCGGGAGGTATGGCTGACGCACTCGGCCGGAGCGGCTTGCGGAAACTCCATGTATATTCACGACGAAGGATTAGAGTCCAACTCCTGCGTGACGCGGCCGGGAGGTTCCCGCGCTGCCCCGTGCGGTGCCGGACTGAAGCGCTCGACAATGCCCATGTCCTCACGCTAACTTGTTTGCCGTCGTCGATTCTTTTCCCCTGCGGTTCTCAACCCAGGGCATCACTCCCCCTTGCAGCCTAGTCCTTTGTCTTTTCTCCCTCTTGCCTCCTTACTGCGCATTTCTCTGTCGTGCACAATTTGGCTATATACAGACTCTCGAGTGGCGGGATGTTATTCGGGACCCATCGGTCCCGACAGCGGCCACACCTTATCAGGATTTACCCCTTTGGTGAGACGTGGGCCCGCTGCCAAGTTACGCCGGTCAGCAACCAACACTAAGGGGTTGCGCCCTAGTGATGCTAAACTTCACCGTTATCTTGGTCTTTCCTGCAAATGCCCTAAGATTAGCACGAGTGGCTGGACGATGTGTCGCAACAATACAGACCTATTGCAGGACTACGCAAGGGTCTGTCACACATAAAAGGCTTTTACCAGCCCTCTGTGAGACTACACAGAGAGCACGACATCCTCTCCACTTTCACAAAACAGAATCACCGCCAGATTCACAAGGTCGTGACCTCCCAACTCGATCAGAGTAAGAAAGTCACACATCTCAATAACATCTCCCAAATAAATCACTCTTGCAACCTCTCGAAAACTCCACCAATAGCCAAAAAAAAAAAAACGTGGTCCTTCTCGTCAGTCTTTATCATTCAAAATCAGCTTTCCATGCCATTAAATCTGTTAACCACCTTTCACACGAAGGAGGTCGCTCAATAGGTCTCTCAGTCATCCCTTCTCTCTCTAGGATGAACTCTCACGCGACCTATTATTAAAACATCTTCCCTCGCTGAAGATGAGTCTCCAAATAACCAAAAGACTACCTTCCCACTCGAAGGTGTCCCAACCATAAAACAACTCAAACTGAGAGACCAACTTCTGGGTCCTCATGACAACTCAACAATAAACATTCGGCATGGAGCCTCAAAAACTCATAAAACCCTTAGGATTCTCTTTTCACAAAACAAACCGCACCCCCTCTCCTTATACCCAGCCCTATCATCCGCCCGTTGACAGATCACACGAATATACCGAAGAGTAGGCAATTCACATTCATTCATATTCACAAAATACACATCACAGAAGATGTTCCTCATACACCTCTCACACAAAACCATCATACATCAGGATAAATCCACGCATGTGAGAGCGATTGTGATCGTCATATACAATAGATAACCCCAAATAAAGTCTCAACTCAAAGTACACTCAAGGATGAGATATCTCATCCAAAAATACAAGTAATGTCTCAACTCGTGACTCACTCGGACTATGTAGAACTACTCTCAATATGGTACAAACGTAGCCATCTTACCAAAAAAATGCACTCAAAGTTAGAACCGTTGTCGACTCTCGGAGTCAGAAGAGAAGTAGTCCTACTATACACTTATTATTCTCCAAACCCTGATCCCCATATCACTAAAGAAAACCTCCATGGCGATCGTACGTTGTAATCCCCTATTTGTACAACTAGCAGCGTAGGTACCCAAGATCCTAAAAAGACAAAGACAAAACAAAAGTAAAAATTAAGTATCTGACCCTAAAATACACACACTCAACTCAACCTCATAGTGCCACAATGACTATCACTACATAGGCGCAAAAGTTCCTACTCACTCATCTCCTCCTAGTTTTGCCTGTACAACTGAGCCCTGCCCCCATCGACAAGATCGCTCCACTACTCTACCCTGTCTATCGTACATCTTCCCATCTCCCTCTGTGACTTTTCCCGCTGCCTTATCCTTGAGGAACTTTGGGCACTGCAGAGCTCGATGTTCCCCTCTCGTGCAAAAAGAATCAGTTTGGGTCATACGACTTCCTTGGCCTCATCTGCTTCCTCTGAGACTCTGGTGACGAAGGCGCCTCACTGGCTTCTTTGGCCACCTCATGACTCTGGGGTATATCCATAGGCTCCTCCGATCTCATCTCCACCCCCTGGGTGCTCGGCTCTATCCGCATCCCAACTCCCTCAGGCATGTACTCAGGAGTATCTAACCTTTGTAGCCTACCCTCGAAAACACCCTCCATCGCAACCACCATCTCCCCTCACGAGGCTCCTCCACTCTCTGCTCAGGCATAAGCATACTTGCCCCTTCCTGCATAGTGCTGACTGCCTCGAGGAGCACGTCGATCGACCCCTCATCTGATCCAGGCGCAGGCTCACTTGCAGTTGTTCATGGCCTGTTTCCTGCCTGTACTGGCACGGACTCTGTCGCTGGCCCAGAAGACGCTATAGCGGTAGCAAGCTCTGTAGATGCTTGGAACTCAAAGGCTTCCTTCTCTGCCTCCCTCTTTGCCTTTGCCTCCTCTGGCTCCAAAATAACCTTTCCAATGGATGGTTCGGGAGTTGGGCCCGCCGTAGATGGCTGCCCAAATAGGCCCTGCATTGCCTCTCCCTGGATGCCATAGCGTCTACTCTCAGTCCAATCCACCACTCTGATAGGCCCCTCTCTCTCCATCCTCGCTGTCATATCGTGAAGTTGTTGTCTCATCTCCTGGATGGTAGCGGCCTGGCTGGCTGTCTGCGTCCTCAGCTCGTGGATCTCTGCCTCTGCGGCCTCCAAACGCACCCCCAGATTCCCAAACTTCACCTTCCTTCCGGCCAACTCATCTCCCAACATTACATACCTCTGGAAAGACGTCTTGGCCAAAAAGCGGAACTTGCGGTCCAGGTACCCATCTGCTGACCTCGCCGACTCGAGTCCTGCTCTCTCCGGTGCCACCAATTCCTCACCATACTGACCCTGAAACTCGTCCCACATCTTCGTGACCCCACGGGGCTTGGGTGGTACGTCGGGTGGCTGATCTGGAAGCGCTCCTGCCGCCTCTAATCTTTGCCTCGCCTCCCAAATCTCCTCCACGCGCTTCCCGACTCTGGCCCGTTTCTCCTCTGCTGTCTCTCCTGCTGGTGCTCTCCCTCTTGTGCGATGGACCCCTCTCTCTGGAATCTCAGCCCTCGCCTCTCTCTCTGCCTGGCGTGGCTCTCGTGGTGGCTCCATAGGCACGCAAGCTCCCCGATGTCAGGGTGCTCCTGGGCATGTGCCGCCAGGTGTCTATCGACCGTAGAAAGGGCCTCTCTTCTCCAGCTGGTCTCCTCTCGCTCCATCTCTACCCTTACCCCTAGCGAAAGAGTCGTATCTAGGGGAGGTAGTGAAACCTCTCCCTCCTCCCCTACCTCCCGAGTATCTTCAGGTTCTCCGACCCTGGCATAGGAACAAGTGATTGAGGAGGGAGGTGATTGAGGAGGGGTATCCTCTCCCACCTCGATCACCTCCTCCACAGCTCGCCTCCTCTAGGCGCTTGGCCTCGCCTCTCGCTGTGGCTCTTGGGCCTCCTCCTGCGATATGTCCCCAACTGGCTCACCACCCCTCATCTCAGTCTGTGGCGCCTTCCACTCAGAGACGTCCAAGTGCGCCTCCAACTCCTGCAGTGGTCCTGCTATGGTGCCTCCTCCTCCTGTGTATGCTGAGGAGAATCCAGCTCCTGCAGTGGTCCTCCTAATGGCGCCTCCTCCTCCTGTGTATGCTGAGGAGACTCTTGCAACCTTCCCTCTGTAAAGTGCTGAAAGACTACTGGACCCAGCCCGCACTCTGGATATGCCTCTCGCTCCTCTGCCTGCTGCGATGACTCCTCACCCCGCCTGGCAAGTGCCTTACATCCTCCTCGAGATGAGGTGGCCTCTCCTCTTGCTTCTCTGCCGCCTCTCGACCCTAGGTTGGGGAGGCTCCGACTGTCAAAAGGCCTCTCTCAGGTGTGCCCTGCAGCTCTCCCAATCTCGAGCCATGTCCCTAACTTGCCTGGCCAACAGTGTCTCTGCCTTCCTGGCCCGTAGTGGTAACGTCCGTGCCCACTCATCCTTCAAAATGTTTTGATCATGCATAAGCTGCTCAAAAGCAGGGATGAACTCCTCCACGTTCCCAATCTCCAGGCGAATCGACACGCCATCTGGTCCCACTGGTGATGGCCTCAACTCCTGCATCCTCATCTCTACCTCTGGCCAGGTCCTCGCCTCCCTACGGATCCGTGCGATGGGCTCCTCAAATCTGCCAACTCCTCTCAACCTCTCTATCATCTGGGTCACTGTCCATCCCCTGTACTTTGCATACCCTCGGAAGTCGTCCAGAAAGAGCTTTATATCCCCGTCGTCATACACAGGTGTGTGCTCCCTCCGGTAAGACCCATGCCGCTCGTATACCCCAGATGCTCCCAACGACCTCCGTGGTGGCCGCGTCTCCCTCCCTCGTCTCGGCATGGCTGTCTTCGTAAAGTCAGACCTGCACAACAGGCGAAGGAGAAGACGGAGACACAAAAAGGGTGAGCAAACAGGCAAGCAGGGCTTACTCAGATCATAAAGCAAGCACACATCCTGTCCATACATTCTACCATCTTACGTCTTTCTAGGACCTAACTACAAACTTTTTTTATATACATTGTGTCCTGCCATAAAAGGTTTGGTCGTCTATCTCACCTCTTCTCTTGCCACAAATTTCTTCAACCTCGCTCCTGACACCCAATCCTTCCATTTTGTTCCATCCAACTCGTCAATCTCGTAGGCGTCGAAATCTCCACATCGCACAATTCGATATGGCCCTAACCACCTCTTATCGAGCTTCCTAAACCACTGATTCTCCAGGGATGAATCGTACAATAATACGATATCCCCAACCTCCAATGGAGCCTTTCGTACGCATGCCATCTGGTCCCGGCGAGCCTTATCATCCATGCGACTCCTTTCCACTTGATTGGATGCCTCCTGAATTTTTTCCTCAATCGCACCCACCTGTCGCGCTCGAATATCGAGCAACTCCTCGAGGGACAGGCTGGTTTCTAGGTCCTGACGCCTCCAGGTTTTCAGGAAGCTCTCAATTGGGAAAGTAGCGTGCCTTCTGTACCATAGTGTGGCTGGCGCGTACTTAGTGGTCTTTTACACCGTAATATTTTCGACAAAAAATGCCGCCCTCGAGTATCTTGGCCACTAATTAGGCCTACCTTCAGTCCACTTAGCCAGAAGGTTCGTGATGGTGCTATACCCTCTCTCAATCAGAGCATTTGCTTGAGGGTGTGCAGGCGTGGTACACGCCATACCCTGACAACAACTCTTGCACCTCCTGGCAGGTAAACTCTGATCCCCTGTCCATCACGAACTCCCTGCCGAAAGGATAAGGTAGGTAGTACTCCTCGATGCAACTCACTAGAATTGAGTTGGTCTTTGTGCGAATAGCCCGACCATCTAGAAAGCCAGTACGGTTGTCTAGCGCATCAAAGATGTAGTTGTAGCCATGATCCCCAATCGGCATGAATAGTAACTCGAGACCCATTTCCCTATCTAGCCTTGGATGCAGCGGCTCTTCAGGCCTCTGAGGAAACCTCTCTTGATAGGGTACACGAGAACGACAAAACTTAATGACCATCTCCATCATCCCATCCCAGTAGTATAGCTCGCTTATCTTGGCATACGTGGCATTGACTCCTCAATGCCCCCCTGCGATGCCATCATGACGCGCAACCATAGCATCGATCTGACGATTCCTTCCACACACGACCCTTCTGGGGTTCCCCACTTGCCTCTTCACAAAAAGATGGGCATCCCTTACCAGATAGAGATGTCTCATCTTCTGAGCCCTCTCGCGTGCATCCCTATACCTTATCTCACATGATAGGAGTCGTCCCAGCTCCAGGCAAATCCCATCATACTCCTCTGCACGGAAAGCTTCTTTGATCTCCCCTTCCTCAAACCCGTTGTCCTGGTTCTCCGGTACAATACCTTCACTCTCAGCCGGATTCAACGAGCCTATTCGGTCAAAGTTCCCCTGCAGAAGCGTGTTGGTGAGGAGCTACATTCCTCCCATCAACTCCTCGTGCTTCTTTACCTGACCCGACCCTTCTTCTATCGCTCTTACCTCCTCTACCAGATTATGTGCGCCTGCCAGTGCCAACTTCATCATCCATTGGACATCCTTGCCGCCCCACGGGTCTTCTTCCTCAAAAGGCTCGAGTACAAGCTTTGCCTTCTGCTCATACCCCCTTGGTGCAAGCCAAATAGGATGACCGACGCAATTCGGCACTCGCAAGGACCACTTATTAATATGAAGGCGGACATCTTCCTCCTAATCCAAGAAGCCATCAACTGGGGGTGTGTCCTCTACTGCCTCTCCCTTTTGCTTATCCCAGTTGATGCGACTTAGCCCATCTGCCCTATTCATGTTCCCTGGAATCCATTCCAATTCGAAATTAAACATCCAGATGTATGTTAGCCATCTGGAGACAGTTGGATCCGATGGAACGTAATTCCTCAGTGAGTAAGCGAGCGCAGTTGGGTCTACTCTCAATATGAACCTTCTACCAAAGATATAATTTCGAAAAATCCTTCGGGAATGAAGGACATCGAGAGTCTCCCTCTTAAACGGAGAGTAATTTCTCCCAGTCGTACTAAGAGTTCGACTCTCAAACCTTAGCGGCCTCTCCTTTCCTTCGACATCTGCCTGAATCAAGACTCCCCCTAAGGCAGTCGGTCCAGCGTCCGTCTCAACGATGAATGGCCTTACCTCAGTGGCCTCATAGTCTGGTGCTCCTAATACTAAACCCCCTTCCAGAAATTCCTCCTTCATTCCTGTCACAATGTTCTCTTGGTCCTCACCACAGACCCATTCCTGATCCTGACGTTCCAGCTTTCTTAGGTGCTCAATCTTGGCAGCAAAGTTTCTGATGAAGGTTCTCCAAAACCCACACGTGCCGATGAAGCTCCTAACATCTGTTATCGAACGGAATGGCACTGGCCATTCGATAATTTTCTCCGTCTTTTTTACATCCGACCGACGGCCACTCTCGCTGCAGACGAACCCCAAGATGGTAGCCTCCCTCATGCAACGTCTGGATTTGGCTCCACTTGCCGTAAGGTTATGTTCTTCAAGCAAGCTCATGACTTTATCAAGGTCTTGAATATTCTCCCAAACAAAACGCCTTACTCCTGGCAGGACTTCATCATCTTTCTTCTCTATTGGACGCTTTACCGCCAAGTCATCGCTATGGCTGAGTGATATGCGCGTTAACTGTCTGCATGGCTCGAATCATATGTCGCTCAACCATTGCCACCGCATTAGTCCATCCTTGCGGAGCTACATCCATATGAATTAGCCCCCTGGGCGTATGCATCGTTGTCACCTGTCTATCCGGCGGATAGATCGGGAATTGGTCATACCCAGAATAGAGGTCTATAAGTGAAATTATAAGCCTCCCTACGCACGACTTCGACAATGCGTCTGCATTCGGCAAGCCCCCCTCATCTCGCACAGTCACAACATTCAATCGCTGCAAGTCCTGCACCCATCGCAACGTCCCGTTAGGTTTAACAAAACAAAACCATGGGGATATGTACGACCCACTTGAGTAATCGGCGACATGCATACGTATCTTGCCGTCGAGATAATCCACCACCACCTTCTCCTCGTCAGGATTAGGATATCGCACCCCTCTCAAATTTCATGGCTCATGCGGCACGGTATGGATTCGGATCATAGGAATTTTATCCACATCCAACCTCCCGCATTGATCGGCGCGATGCCTCTTCTTCATCAACTCTATCATTAGCACTCTTTCCTGGGGTGACAGGAATCCAGGCTCCCCCACTATCAACTTTTCCTCGTTCCCTTTATTAATACGACACGGCCCTACTGCCGCTTGCTCCCTCATTCGCCATATCAATCCTCATTCCCGCTCATAATAAACCTCCTCATCTTCTGTGACGAGAACGAGAACTGGGCGACACTTCTTATCTATAGTCTTGTACCGCCTTTGGGAACCCTGCTTAGGCCGTCCCCAAAAAAAGGTCGGTTTACCGCTTATGCCTGCACTACCGCAAGATCCCTCCTTCCACCCGAAAGCCGATAAACCAGCTCTACTTCCCCAACCTGGGGACATTCTAGGACTTGCTCCCTTAGTGCTTGAATGGCGTCTGGATCCGCAATCTCGTAGGTGGCCACTACGTCCATGGCCTCTTTTTTTTTTTTTTTTTTTTTTTGGCCTTATTCACATCAGATAAACTGAGTGAAAATACTTCCTCCCTTGCATCCTCCTCCGGTTCCTCAAGGAGCTTCCGGCGCTCATTCTCAGAATCCTCGATCGTGAATGAATCAGGGTTGGGTCGGTGTAGGGCCAAACCCCGGTAGACTTTCGAGCCTTTGTCGACCCCACTGCGGGTCCCAGTTGGCTTGGCCCGCCCACGCTCATACTCAAGGCGCAGGCCGTTCGTCCCAGGGTCACCCCCACCTAGTGCTTTGAGATGGATGGGGGTGGACCGTCCAGCGAAAGAGCTTGACATTGGGGATGTAGCTCAGCCCTCGCGCCCGGTGGTAGTCTCACTGGTCATTCCGCAAGCGCTGATTTTCTGATGCTTGGTTGTGTTTTTCAAGCAAATGCTCCTTCCAATAATTAGGCAATCCAGGGATTCTTTGGGAGTTCCTCTTCTTTAGTGCGTAGGCTAAGCGTCATCCTTAGGCCACGCACCATTTCCCTAAACACAACAGCCCTATGGCATCATCAGGGTGCGGCGACGCCGTCTTCCCCCTTGCTTCTATGCTTTTTTTTTTTTTTTTTTTTTTTT